AAGACAGTAAATATTTATGGGCAATGATTTTTTCTCATGTAAGAAAGTGAAGGGAGATTAGCACCTGCAGAGCAAGACCTGTTCAGATAGTCTTTCCACAGCCCCAACCACAGCCACTGTTATTTGGCACTAACCCAGATTTTAAAGCAATATAGGCTAAGTGTCTTGCTCTGCTATATGATGCTGGGAAAATCACTTAGCTATCTGAGATTAATGGTGCTAAGTGCTGTGCCTTCTTGCTCTTCATCTCCCTGTTCCTTGGACTGCTACCACATGCCCTGAGTTGCAGGTTTGCAGGATCCCACCTGCAAGGGTGGGATGTGGGATTGCAAGCTGTGAAAATACAGAAGCTGGTGACTCTAGCATGTGTGTGATGTGAGTGCTGCTTGGTGCATGACCCAGGGCAGGACATGCAGCTGGGACAGCAGGCTGCGTGGCTGTGAGTCAGAAGAGCTGTCCCCAAGCCTATCTGTTTGTTTTCTTAGTTAAGAAGAAAGGAACAACTGGCCTAAAACTAAGCAACCTGATGAACCTTGGGAGGAAAAAATCCAGCTCCATGGACAGCCCAGAGAGATCGCTGGAGACTTCAAGTAAGCGACAGCATGCACCCCATGCAGTGACTTGTCCCAGGGATGGGTCTTAATGTGCAATGACATCTGACTAATCGTCATCTCACCCACTACGTACGTGCTCCAAGTTGCCCTGCTAGGGGAGGGACAAAGGCCACAGTCCACTCAGTCCCTTTCAATAAATCCATGCAGATCATGGTGCTTCTTACCTGTTAAAGCGAGTGTCTTGCTTGCAAGGTAGGAGCTTGCAGGTTTGCCCAAGGAGAAGGGTGGAGAACATGAGACGTATGCACAGGACCAGCGCTGCTCTTTCTAGAGATCAGCCCAGCATGTGGGATTCAGCAGGGAGAGTTGTGCGCGCAGACTGGAGTTCATCTTCTGGGACAACCTTTGCCCAATTATCTGCAGCCAGCTTGCTGCTCCACACCTGCCTGGAATTTCAAGCATCCTATTTTGAACATATTTTCTCTCATTTTTATATGTTTTTGCTCTTTACTACTGCGTGACTTTGTGTTCCCAAGTGATCCCAGAATTGACTTACTAGTCAAACACCCCTATACGTGAAATGAGTTTGGATTTCTCTGATAATGGTGTTGAAAGCCTGATCACGTGGCCTGTGCTTGCTTGCAGGTTACCTGAATGTGCTAGTGAACAGTCAGTGGAAGTCCCGCTGGTGTCACATAAAAGATGGTCACCTCCATTTCTACCAGGATAAGAACCGAAGTAAATTGGCTCAACAGCCTCTGAATTTGGCGGGTTGTGAAATTATCCCGCAGCCAATTCCTGATCATCTCTATTCCTTCCATATCCTGCACAACGGGGAAGAACGGGTCACTCTGGAGGTAGGGTATTTTCCTCTAGGCTGGGTAACCAGTAAAGTTCTCCAGAGAAGCCCTCAATCCAGCAAAACAGAACCTGAAGCACAGGACTCTGGTTCATCTGGCTTTGGTCACCCAGCACGTCTCCAGCCCACGCTGGTAGTCCAGGCTGCCTCTGATGCTGGCATCTCCAGAGGACCATTCAGCCTTCATCTTAGGCACTCATCTTAGGATGGGATGAAGGGTCCTCTGGAGGTGCCCATCTCTCTCCACTGGCTATAGGATAACCTTGGATAATTAAGTTATATGGGACATGTACTAGATGGCTCATTTGATGTGAGAGGAATCCCATGAAGGGGTTTAAGACTGGGCCTAAGAGGAACAGAGAACCTTTTCCTTTATCTTGGGAAAACAGAGATGCAAAAGCAAAGTTCATGGATGCATCCCACTTTAGCCAGTCAGAGATCTTCCTTTGACAGTGCAAGTAAATTCACCTCCATGTGTTACTTTCCTTTGCCTGCATCCAGGACTGTTTATCTCTAATCTTAGTTCTTGCTGACGACAGCCTGATTATAGTAGGAGCTGGACAATGTGAGCAATTTCCTGTATTTTTCCAGTGGGTGGAATATTTACAGCTAAACAACTGACTTCAAGTGCCGTCCATGGAAGGTGTTTTTGTTTAGCTTGTGAACCAGGTTATGTCCTAGGTCCAAGAAATTTCACCTAATTACAGATGTGAAAAGAGATGCTGGGAAAATTTACGTTTTGTGAATGGGAGAAACCGCATCTTGTAGGATATCAGGCTCATGTACAGACAGCCTGGCTGGCTGACTTCCCAGGCGCTAAAGTTTTGTGCTAAATAAAACAAATTGGAAGCTTAAAATATACTTTCCAGTTTGGTATTCACTTGCCCTGAAATTTATTTTGTGTTTCCTGGTAGGACTCCTAAAATCAAAGCAAAACACGTGGGCATTGGCCCAGTTCTTTCTTGCTTCAGGTAGAAATAATTTGCTACCAGGAAGTACATGTGGCTAGAGCTAACTTCAAGGCAAAATCTCAGCTCGTAATTTTGCATACCCCAAAAAGTCAGTGTTGCACTGGACCTGGAAATTTGGTTTTGACCATGTTAAAGGTGGGGAATCTCTTCAAAATTCTTCTGTGATCACACTCCAAAATTCTTCCTTTGCCATCTCCATCATGCAAACACCCGCAGAGCAGTTTTGGCTTTGGCATGAGGAACTTAAGCTCTCTGATTCAGGTGTCCTTGTAAGTCTGTGTTTGGAAATCACACTGCTGCACTCTACTGGTACAGAATAAAAATGTGCTCTTTCCTCTCCAAGAATGGCTCGCCTAACACATCTGAAGCCAGGGAGATGGTTTTTTTCAATTCTGTAGGCAGCCAAGTCGTTTCACCATTAACAGGAAAGTGAAGAAATGCATTTAGAGATCTTCCACATTTGCAAATCAATTCCACACATGGAGCAGAACTCCTTCTTTGCTTTTTTCCTTTAAAACAAAAACATTTGCTCTTAGACTTAATTTAAAAATGCTGCAGTTCACCTTTCTTCTTGCGGGTCAAGAGGGCTGTCAGCTTACCTCCCTACCTCGGGCTTAGTAAGTGCTAGCCTTGCTAGTCCAGGAAAACTGCCACTGCAATGTGTAATGATCTCACTGGTCACCTTGTAGGCCAAATCCTCGGAGGAAATGGGCCATTGGCTGGGCCTTCTCTTACTGGAGTCAGGTTCAAAAACAGACCCGGAGGAGTTTACCTATGATTATGTGGACGCCGATAGAGTTTCCTGCATTGTCAGCGCTGCAAAGAATTCCTTCTTGTAAGTCACAGTGGTAACGTGCTGGTCCCTGTGCTGGTGGCAGAGGCTTGTGGAAAGGGGAACAAGCTAGAGGGAGGAGGAGGGGTGCCATAGGCTGGCTGCAGAACAGGTTATGGAGCTTGTGTCAAAGCTGAAGCCTCAATGCCAGCTCGGAGAGCACTTGCTGCTGTTCGAGGGTAGCTGCCGTGAGGCTTGGGGCACGTGTCCAGGCTGCTCTCGTGAGGCCAGCCCAATGGGTCCAGGCTGCTAGCTGGGGGTGCAGAGCTGCTGGGCTGCTGCAGCAAGCTAAACACCTCGGTGCAGTGCTGCGCCGAAGGCTGGGCAGGAGCGGAGGGAGCCGTGGGGAAAGGCAGCCCCTTCCCACCGATGCTGCCTGGTGCAAAATGACAGCAGTGGTCACATTGCTGCGTGCCTCTTCCTTCTCCTCTCCTGCGTTTGGCCATGTGGCCGGTCCAGGGCTCAGCACCACTGTGCACAGACACACGTGC